ATAGTAAATTCTTACCTGTCAATAATTACTTTAAATGTAAATGGATTAAATTCTTCAGTCAAAAGGCACAGAGTGGCTGAATGGATAAATACACAAGACCCAGTGATATGCTGGCTACAAGAGACTCACTTCAGCTTCAAGGATACACATAAGCTCAAAGTGAATTGACGGAAAAAGATATCTCATGCAAATGGAAACCAAAAGAGAGCAGAGGCAGCTATACTTATATCAGACAAAATACACTTTAAGCCAAAACTGGTAAGTAGACAAAAAGAAGGTCTTTATATAGTGATGAAGGGGTCAACTCATCAAAAGGATATAACAATTGTAAATATATATGCACCCAGCATTAAAGTACCTAAATATATTAAACAAATACTAACAGATCTGAACAGAGTAATAGACAACAATACAATAATAGTAGGGGACTTCATTACCCTACTTTCAACAACAGATTGATCATCCAGAGGAAAAACAATGCCAATTCTTCTCAAACTCTTCCAAAAAATTGAAGAAGATGGAACACTCCTAAACTGATTTTATGAGGCCAGCATCACCCTGATATCAAAGCCAGATGAAGATACTACAAGAAAAGAAAATGACAGGCCAATATGCCTGATGAATATAGATGCAAAAATTTTCAATGATTTGAATTCTCAAACCAAATTCAACAGCAAGTTAAAAGGATCATACCCCATGATCAAGTGGGATTTATCCCTGGAATGCAAGAATAGATCAACATACACAAATCAATAAATGTGTTACAGCACATTAATAGAAAGAAATACAAAAATCATATGATCATCTCAATAGATGCAGAAAAAGCCTTTGACAAAATTCAACATGCTTTCATGACAAAAACTCTCAACAAATTAGGTATAGAAGGAACATACCTCAACATATTTATGACCATATATAACTAACCTGCAGCCAAGATCATACTCAATGGTGAAGGGTTGAAAGTTTTCCCACTAAGATCAGGAACAAGAGGGTGCCAACTCTAACCACACCTATTCAACATAGTACTGGAAGTACTAACCAGAGCAATTAGGCAAGAAAAAGAAATAAAAGGCATCCAGATTGTAAAGGAAGAAGTAAAATCATGTCTATTTGCTGATGACATGATCTTGTAGATACAAAATCCTAAAGACTTTACCAAAAGACTGTTAGACCTAATAAATGAGTTCAGTGAAGTTTCAGGATATAAAATCAATATACAAAAATCAGTTGCACTTCTATACACTAACAATGAACTATCTGAAAAAGAAATAAAGAACACGATCCCATTTATAATAGCATCAAAAACAATAAAATACTTAGGAATAAATTTACCCAAAGAAGTGAAAGATCTATACACCAAAAACTATATGACATTGATGAAAGAAATTTAAGAAGACATAAATAAACGGAAAGATATCCTATGTTCATGGATCAGAGAGTTAATATTGTTAAAATTTCCATACTACTCAAAGCCATCTATAGATTAAATGCAATCCATATCAAAGTTCTAATAGCATTTTTCACAGAAATAGGAAAAACAATCCTAAAATTTGTATGGAAGCACAAAAGACTTCAAATAACCAAAGCAATCTTGAGAAAGAACAAAACTGGAGGCATCACACTTCCTGACTTCAAACTATATTACAAATCTATAATAATCAAAACAGTATGGTATTGGCATAAAAACAGACCCATAGGCCAATGGAACAGAATTGAGAGCCCAGAAGTAAACCTACCCATATACAGTCAACTAATATTTGGCAAGGAAGCCAAGAATACTCAATGGGAAAGGATAGTCTCTCCAATAAATGGTGTTGGGAAAACTGAATATCCACATACAAAAGAATGAAATTGGACCCCTATCTTACACCACTCACAAAAATGAACTCAAAATTGAGGACTTAAATGTAAGATCAGAAACCATAAAAATCCTAGAAGAAAACATAGGGGAAAGCTCCTTGACCTTGGTCTTGACAATGATTTTTTTAGTATGACACCAAAAGCACAAGCAACAAAAGCAAAAATCAACAAGTGGGACTGCATCAAACTAAAAAGCTTCTGCACAGCAAGAGAAACAATCAACAAAATGAAAAAGCAACCTATGGAACGGGAGAAAATATTTGCAAACCATGTATCAAATAAGGGGTTAATATCTAAAACATATAAGGAACTCATACAACTCAATAGCAAAAAAACACAAATAATCCATTAAAAAGTGTATTTGATAGACTGAATAAACAGTTTTCCAAAGAAGACATACAAATAGCTAAAAGGTACTCAACATCACTAATCATCATGGAAATGCAAATCAAAACCACAATGAGATGTCACTTTACACCTGTTAGAAAGGCTATTATCAAAAAGACAACTAAAGCTGAAAAGGATGTGGAGAAAATGGAACCCTGGTGCACTGTTGGTGGGAACATAAATTGGGTCAGCCACTAAGGAAAACAGTATGGGAGTTTCTCAAACAATGAAAAATAGAACTACCGTTCGATCCAGCAGTCCAACTTCTGGGTATATATCTGAAGAACACGAAATCAGGATCTCCAAGAGATACCTGCACTCCCATGTTCATTGCAGCATTATTCACAATGGCCAAGACTTGGAAACAACCTAAGTGTCCATCAATGTATTAATAGATAAAGAAAATGTGAGATGTGTGTGTGTGTGTATGAGAGAAAGAAAGAGAGAGAGAGATTACATATATATAATTCAGCCATTAAAAAAGAAAATCCTGGGGCTGGCCCAGTGGAGTAGTGGTTAAGTTCATGCACTTCAGCAGCCTGGAGTTCACAGGTTCCAATTCTGGGCGTGGACCTATGCACCACTCGTCAAGCCATGCTGTGGTGGCATCCCATATACAGAATAGAGGAAGATGGGCACAGATGTTAGCTCAGGGCCAATCTTCCTCAGCAAAAAGAGGAAGATTAGCAATGGATGTTAGCTCGGGGCCAATCTTCCTCACAAAAAAAGAAAAGAAAATAAAAGAAAATCCCGGGTCCAGCCCTGTGGCCAAGTGGTTCAAGTTCTGAATGCTCTACTTCGGCAGCCAGGGTTTGCAGGTTCAGATCTTGGGCATGGACCTACTCTGCTCACCAGCCATGCTGTGGCAGTGCCCCACATAGAAAATAGGGGAAGACTGATATAGATGTCAGCTCAGTGCTAATCTTCCTCAAGAAGAAAAAGAGCAGGATTGGCAACAGATGTTAGCTCAGGGTCAGGGTGAATCTTCCTCAGCAAAAAAAAAAAAAGGTAATTATGTGAAGTGAAGGATGTGTTAAGCAACCTTACTGTGGTAAAGATTTCACAATATAAATATATATCAAATAATCACACTGTACACCTTAAACTTACACAATGTTATATGTCAATTTTATCTCAATAAAGCTGGGGGGGAAGGTCAAATGCCTTCAGAGGCTGGGCAGACAAGAGGTAACAGGGAGTGGTGAGAAAAACAGCCACCCTCTTTAAAGGCATTCAAATTATCATTATTTTTCAAATCACCATGCCAGTCAAACAAAACCTGTCTAAAAGTTAAATTCTGCCTCCAGGGGCCGGCAGTTTAGGATGAGTATAAACTGTAAAATATTATACAAAAATTAATGCTTCAATATCAAAGCATACAAAGAGAAGGCCTTTTCATAACATCTCTGAAATGGAGGTTCAACGTTTCCAAAAGCCTTTGGCTTCCAACGGTTGCTATAATTAGGGTAACCATATAACATATCATCCAAACTGGACACTTTTCAAAATGAAAGGAGGTGCTATTAATTACAGCAGGACAAAGGGGAAACCGAGAACTGTCCCAGGCAAACCAGAATGTATGATCACTCTGATTATAATCATAAAATCACCCACAATCCCTGTTTGACCTAAGATTAAGATCAGATAAAAATCGATGGTATGCTTCTTGGTGGGAACAGATGTCATATACTGGAGGGGAGGTAAGGGTGGAAGGTGGGACCCAGATGAAATGGGAAGGAAGAAGGGATTTTCCATCCTTAACCCAAGAGGAAAGGAGAAAAGGTTATGAGGCAGATGTGCTGAGCTACAGAAGGGCGTGTAGGCGATGCTGGTTGATATTTTCCTAGTCAGGACAGAAGCTGCAGGGAAAGGCAATTCAGGGATCAGAGAAGCACCAAGAAGCAGGAAGAAACACAGATAGACCAAATGAAGAATGAGCATCAAGACACCGGACTATTGAAGACATACAGGGGAAAAAATCCAAAAGAGGACAGACTGCTACAGGTGCTGTGGGGAAGTAAAAGATCACCAGGGTCAAGAACAATGTACAAAAACAGAGAAAGACCTTCCAGAAAGGAAGCTCCTTGCTTCTCCCACTCTACTAGGAATCCCCTTGTGAGAGGAATGGTTGCTTCTCCTGATAACTGGAAATTCCCCAAGGTGAGTGATTATATCTTCCACATTTCCACGAAACTCTTCAAAGTGTGGAGCCAAAGAACCCGAGATAGAGAATTACCCGCTCCCTTCCTTTCCATATGCTCTCCCAAGGTTTGGGCACTGCATACAAGAGATGCCTAGAGCATTGCTGGTGAACTAGTTGTGATCTTTCGGGAAGCGTCTCCCAGCCCCTCCACTCCCTACCTGAACCTCTGTAAGAGGACTTTGGTACCCTGACCCTTCTGATCTGCTTAACTGCCTTATCAACATATCCTTAACTAGTCCAAGGTTCAGGATGACTTATCCCATTTTTTAAGCAGCATATGTCCATTCACAATATCCATTTGTTCTCAAGAGGTAGTGAGGTAGGATTGCCCATCTGTTTTCCTCTCTTTATAATAGTCTCTACATTCTAATTTTTACCCTTTTCTATTATTCATTTATTTTCTCTCTCTCTTATTTTCCTCCCTTCCTGCTTCTCTACTTGGTAGAATCTTTGACCTCCACCTCCTCTGTTTCCTTCTCCCTTCCTAGAACCAGTGTCCGCAGAAGACTTCTAGACTTTCTACAGACCTGAAGCAGCCCTCTGCCCCATCATGGCCAGTCAACAGATTACCGATAAACTGAAGGAGGAAGTGATCTGCCCCATCTGCATTGATGTTCTGCAGGACCCTGTCACCATTGACTGTGGGCACAATTTCTGCCTCAGATGCATCAGCCAGAGTGGAAAAGCATCAGACAACGTTCTCAAATGTCCCTTCTGCAACAAACTTGTGAGGAGGGACATGTTCAGGCCCAACTGGCTGTTGATGAATCTGGTGGAAAAAATCCAAGCTATGGATCCCTCTGAGACACAGCCAGAAAGGGAAGAGCTGAGATGTCTGAGACACGGGGAGAAGTTCCACTACTTCTGTGAGCACGATGGGAAGTTCCTCTGCATGGTGTGTCGTGAATCCAAGAACCACAAATTGCACAACGTAACTTTGATAGAAGAAGCTGCCCAGAGTTATCAGGTAGGCATTGGGGGTCCCTTCCCTCTCCCTGCATCAGATCATGAGTTCAGTGAGGACTTGAAAACTGTTACCTCCTCCCTCTGGGTTGGCTCCTCATTGGCCCCCTCCTTGCACTTGAGTAGGCAGTTCAAGGTCAGGCACAGTGGGTTCAAAGGCCTGAGTTTGGAGAACTGCTGCCTGTTGAAATCAGGGCATAATGAAGAATGGAAAGAACATGGAATTTTGAGTCAGAAGGTTTGGGCTCAAATTCAGACTCCTGAGTTCACTGTATTACCCCTCAAGGAATCACTTTACCTCTCTCAGCCTCGGGTGCCTCACCTTTCAAATGGGGCAAACAGAATGTACCTGTTAAGAGTTGCTGTATCACAAATGAGGGAAAGTTTGTGGGAGTTCCTTGATAATCCCAAAACACCACCCAAATATTAGTCGTGATTTATTAGTTATAATTTATGCAACATTCCTCGCTTGTAGGTCACTTAGGCTCCAGATTTCTCCCTCCTCCATCATGCCCCCACTCCCTAGATTGAAGAGCAGAGGGGGCTTTAATAATGATTACACCAGGACTCACCCTGATGAGCCTCACCCCCCATCCTGAGAGATCAGGACAGTGTTATGAGGCTGGGAGAACTCTAGGCACAGCTTGCCAAAGCAACTCTCTCCCCATAGGGGCAGCTTCAATCAAAGGTCGAGGTCCTACAGCAAAAGGAGAAGATGATAGTACAACTGAAAGAACAAGGTGAACAGAAGATCAACGTCTTCATGGTAAGAAAAACCTCAGGTGTGGGTCTCTCTGACCCATGAGCTTGGAAGCCAGAAACATCTCTGCAAAAGCTTCTAGAACCTCTTATTACACTGACCACTCAGAAAGAGACCCATAACAAAGAAACAGAGGCCCAGAGCAGGATGGAGTATAGGAGGGGCAGACCGAGAGGGATGGAAAGGATGGTGGCATCGTGGGTCAGGGTGTGTTCATGCCTTCCCCTCCACTACAGCTCTTGGCTTGCCGTGTGGTAGGAAGGAGCACCTTCCGTGTCCAGCTTTGTGTTACTGGTGTAGGTTGGTGCTTTGGTCTCCTCCACCTGGGGACAGGTAGTGTAAGGAAAACCAGCCCTGGTCTTAGAATCAGAAATACCAGTTTGAAAACTTAGCTCTGCCCCTCATAGTCCCTTACTAACTAGAGATTGATTCCCCAGTCAGAAAATGAAGACATTGCAAACCCACCCAATATCTTCACCTATCTTTTTGTGGTGTCAAAGGAAAAATCTATGTGAAAGATTATAAACTGAAAAGCCTTCTGGAAATGTATTAAATACTTAGGTATTAAGTATTAGATACTTAGGTCCTTGAAGGCAAAAATGATAAATCATAAATAAATAACCCAAAACTAAAACTGAGCACATAGTAAGTTCTCCTCACCTGTCCTTTCCTCTCTGTCTGCCACAGCACATTGTTCTGCATTGGTACTCAATATAAACTTAATAAAATTGGAAAATTAAATAAAATGGGCTAGAAGGATCTTTGAACCATCCTCTCATCTTCTGAGTGTCCATTTTCCTTGCCCCCAGGCCCAGGCAGAACTTGAAAAGCAAAAGATCATCACAGAATTCAAGCAGCTTCGTCAGGTCCTAAAGGAAGAGGAGAATTTCCTCCTGTCACGGCTAAACTGGCTGAGTCAGGAGGGGGAGAAGGGCAAGAAACTCTACATCACTTCTGCCGAGGCACAGCTGAACTCTCTCAGGAAGTTTATTGATTCTCTCAAGGTCAAGCAGCACTCGCCGCCCAGCCAGCTGCTTCGGGTAAGAATCCTTTGGGGGCTGAGTTGCAAAAAGGCAGCAGCCCATCTCTAGTGACAGGTCAGAGCTCCGACCACCTGACAGAATACCTGAGATTGCCCCTAGCCTCCTACCCCTAGCCCAGTGCTGTCCAACAGAAATATAACGTGAGCCACATGTGTAATTTTGAAGTATAACGCACACCATGTATATAATTTAAAAATATAGGGCCGGCCCGGTGGCGCAAGCTGTTAAGTGTGCGCACTCCGCTGCGGCCGCCTGGGTCCGCCGGTTTGGATCCCGGTGCACACCGAGGCACCGCTTGGCAAGCCATGCTGTGGCGGCGTCCCATATAAAGTGGAGGAAGATGGACATGGATGTTAGCCCAAGGCCAGTCTTCCTCAGCAAAAAGAGGAGGATTGGCAGATGTTAGCTCAGGGCCAATCTTCCTCACAAAAAAAAAAAGAAAAAAAGAAATATAATGTGAACCATATATGTAATTTAGAATTATATCGCAAGCCATATATGTAATTTAAAATTTTTTCTAGTAGCCACATTAAAAAGATAAGAAACAGGTAAAATTAATTTTAATAAAATATTTTAATATATCCAAAATATCGTTTCAACCTGTTGACCAATATTTTAAAAATATTAATGAAACATTTTATGATCTCGGTTTTTTTCTTCTTTTTTATACTGAGTCTTTGAAACCTGGTATATTTTACATGTCAGCAGATCTCCACTTGGATGCTAAATTTTCAATGGTTGAAGTAAAATGCCGTCCTACCAAATCAACATAGCTGTGTTTAATGGAAAAAGTACTTACACTGCTTCAGTTTTTAAATTTAAGTTTGGATTAGTGAAAATTCAATAAAATTAAAAATTCAGTTCCTTATAATACTAGCCGCATTTCAAGTGTTCAGTAGCCATGTGTGGCTGGTGGCTACCATATTGGACAGTGCGGGTCTAGCTGATGAGCAAAATAAGCTGAGATCACCCCGAATTCATCTCCTGCTCCTGTCACCGCCAAATACGGGTCCTCTACTCACCGCAAAGACAAGCCAATAGTCCAGAGACAAGGTGGTAGGAGAGAAAGGGCCTTTTATTATTATTACAGCTTGCTAGCAAGGGGGAAGATGGCAGACTAGGGTCCATAAAGAACCATCTTAAAACTACAAACTTTTGAAACAGTTATATAGGGTAAATGGGCTGAAAGGGGGTGGTGGGGTTCGGAATGTGACCATCTGGTGTTGTAGTCCTCGACACGCCGGATCATCCCTTTTTCTTGTCACTGGCGATGGATACCAGCATAGGGGCTCCTTTCTGAAGGTCATTACATTCCTGGGAAAACTTAAAGAACAAAAAGTTACTGTCTTATCACAATAAGGAGGTTTATGTGTAGGCTAAGGCTGAGAAAGTAGCAGAGCATGCATGTTGCTCACAAGCAGGTGTGGACTTATCCAGGCTACGTGTAAACTAAAGCATTGCAGGCTCCACAAAGGGGGTGCCTTGTGGATCAGGGTTATTTATAGTTCCAACATGATTCCACTCTACAAGATGGCTTCCCTTATGCTAACTTATGCTAACCTGTGACTATATATCTATCATAGCTATTTAAGCAGCACTAACACTCCCACCAATTCAGGAATCCATTTCTTTCTTTCAAGAAAGATAATGTTAAGCTATTCCAGCCCTTCTCCTGCCCTCCCTCTCCTGTCTCTGGTTTAGTCCCAGAGACAAATCATCTCCAGAATCTCACTCCGACTTCCCCTCAGTTCCTCGTGAGGTCCAATCATTTTCCTGCCCACTGGCATATCAGACAGTTCTTGGAGGAGCCTTTATGGGGAGTGGGAAGAGAGAAGGTGGCTTGGAGGTGTCCTCACTCCACCTGCTCTGCCCACACCCAGCAGGGTCTGCACTTCCTCCTTGGCTCCTGTAAAACAGCCAGGTGCTAAGGTTGTGCTGTTTCTCTTTCTCTTCTAGGACGTCAAAACTGTCCTGTACAGGTATGATGGGCCATCCCAAATGCACTTTGCCTACTGATTCACTCATCCTACAATGTTCAACATATACTCAAACACATTCAACATTCCTCCCTCACAAATTCCCGTACATTCTGTCTAACTTTGCAGTCAAATACTTAGGCTGCAGGTAGGAAAGGCCTAAGCTGAGCATATTAGCAGGTAGGTTGGTTGCTAAAGAGAAGAGCTGTTTTCTTCAGGTTCCTGTTTCTTCAGCATGGATTCTCCTCTTTCCTTGCCCCTCCTGCATGCCACCTTGTTCAACTGGATGGCTCCTGGGTCGGCTACTCCATCTCCCTGCCCCTTCCTCCTCTCCTCTTTCTCTTCTCTCCTTCTCTCTGGCTTCATCTCCCATCTTCATTTCCATCTCTCCCTGTGCCCCACCTCACCCTGGCCCCATATCCCTAGCCCTGACCTCCCAACTCCCAGCTCACTACCCCCTGACTTCCCCTTCACCCTCAGGACACCATCTCCTTGTCACAGCTTTCCTCCCCTGCACCCCATCCTCTGATCTCACCATCCAGCTTAGCCATATCTTCCTAGGAGTGACGGGTTTCCCTATCTGAGCCTAACCCCTGTTCCTCTGGTCCTGGAGAAAAAACTCAGTGAAGCACAATCAAGACATGAGTCCCTCACAGAGAGCCTGAAGAGATTCAAAGGTAAGGAAAAAGCTGTCTCCTTCTCCATTCACCGCCCTCTAGAAGAGTCTTCCCCCATCACCCCATGGTAACTGGACTGTAACTTCTCCTACATGCCAATCACAATCACAGGGCCTCTCAAATGCCAAGCTCTCTGCTGAGCACTTCCCATGCATCACTGTGCTTCCTTTCAGGCATTTCTTACACCCTATCTTAATCATATGTCATTTGTCTGCCTCCCTGACTTCTGTGAGAGCCACAAGGGGCCCCCTTGCCTAGGGCAGTGGCTGTCAGGAAGTTGGTGCTCAGTTGTCTGGCGGACCAGACAGAAGGCAGGGCCCTGCCTACCCAGGGCCCTCAGGCAGGGACTGTGTAATCTCCAGCAAGTGGCTGTTACTGCTCTGGTGCACACTGGAGCGCTGTCTATTCCTGAACATAGATTCAAAGTCAATGACATTCTGGGGAAGTCCCTCTTCCAGCCTTACAGGAAACAGAAATAAGTAAGAACAGAAGTGGATGACTTGGGATGTTCCATCAGATATCTTTCAAAAACTTGTCTAGGTTTGCAACTAGGAAGAAGATTCGGTATTTGTAAGGAATCCCCCTTCACTGGGAGGGCTGTGCTTGTCTAAGCCAGGAGTAAAGACAACTGGATGGAGTTTTCTTCCTAGAAATATCACAAGACACCCCCACCACACACCCATACACCTCCCATGTGCCTATGGAAAAGGAGGGCCAGGGCAACGCCCCAAGGACCCTACGCATTCAGCCAGGAATCTCCACTCGCCAGGCGCAAACAGGGAACAGTGTTTGGCTTTGTTCTTAGTTCTGTTGTTTGAGCTTTTCTTTCCCCCAGTAACTGCTCTGCTTTGTCCAGCTCTCCTATCCCACTGGGTGTAATCTCACCAGATCCAGCAACTTTATAGTCACTCCAAGTTTAAAATAGTTTAGTTCCAGTTTAGAATTTCAATGAAGGGCCCCCTGCCCCGTCCACTTCAGCATGGAATTGGGAGTGGGGGAGGGGCTTCAAAGGCAAAGCTTATGGTGGAGCTGGGCATGGTCTGTTTTGTCTCCCTCACATACACACAAACACGGTCCCCCAACTCACACCCGGCCCTATTAAAGCACAAGTAGAGTAGGTGCTGGAGAATCTGCTCACCACACTGATCCCATCTCCATAGTCCCCTAGTCTGAGGATTGTCACTCCCTGTTGGGGGACAAATGGGTCTGGGAACCCAGGGGTGGAGGTGGGGGTGGCTGGAGCCTGAAGGGCCTTGTAGGCACTGTGCTCCCAGCAATGTTTCCTCTGCTCTGGCTCTAGGTATGTGGACCCCTCATAAGAGGGTCACTGAGTGTTCCCCATGGCCAGGCTGGTGGCTCTCAGGACTCCTGGAGCAGTCAGGCACTAGAAAGCGGCAGAGCCCCAGAGAAAGCCCCCACCCGGGGGCCCCACCTTATAGTTTAATAGTCTAAATTCAAGAGTGCTGTCAATGAAGAACACACATAAATTTCACAAGACTTAGTATGAAAACAGAACGTAAAATATAGCAATAGTTTCTTCTACTACATGTTGAAATAACAATATATAATTAAAATTAATTTTACCCGTTTCTTTTCACTTTTTGTTAATGTGATGACTAGAAAACTTAAAATGATATTTGTGGCTCAGATTATATGTCTACTGGACAGTGCCGTGCTAGATAGCCACTTCAGGGAAGCAGAAAGGGAATCTCTCAGTGATTTATACCTTCTTGGTCCACTAAGAACATGAGAGACAAATCTAGCTCCCACTTCTCCAAGGCATTTCGCATCAGTGCCCTGCTTTGCGGTCCTGGGTTCCTTGCTCAACCTCTTTGGACTCTCTCCATCTCATTCCATTCTCTCCCCATAGACAACATCCAGGCTGATAGGAAGAAAGATAAAAGCAAATTTCTCAAAGGCATGAACGAAAACAACAGAACGAGCTGTAAGTAGGGACTGATGGTTTCTCCTGCCATGTGGGAAAACTGAGAAAAGCAAAGGGGAAAAACTCTGTCTCGATGATTACATGAAAGCCAAATACAGTGAATACCCATCCCTCAGCTGATTGAGAAGAACAGGCATATGGAGATGTTTTATTATTTTAAACTCAGGTAACTCACAAAACAGTGGCTAATCTCAAAATTTAGAGGTATCAAAAGTAATAGAAATTGTAAATTTATTTCTTCATTCCTCAGAGTAAGCGAGGAAAAGGTGGGACAAGGAGGAGGTGGAAGCAACTCAGTCTCTGTACTATTAGCTCCCCCCACCACATGCCGGGTTTCTAGGTAAGCCCTCCTGGGTGCGAGGTCAGGACAGCTGGGGGGATGGAGACCCACTGTAACAACAGCCTATACCAAAGTCATCAGAGATGGTTCCACCACCTGAGATGGTAACACTAGAAGTACCATTTCTTAAAGACACACTGTGTGCTACGCACCCCACATCTGATAGTTCAAAATGCCACAACTATCCTCCAAGGTAGGTGTTATTGTCTGCAATTTACAGATAAGTGAGGTCCCTGCAACTCCAGGGAGGTGAGGTAAGTCACTCAGGTCATGTGACTATGAAGTGGAAGAAACTGAATTAGAACTCATTTTGCAGAAGCTGGAAACTATAATGCATTGCAATGCCAGAGAGCAGGATTTAGGGATTCTATCCCACCAATGTTTCTCCACGAGAGGAGTTATTGGCATTGGCAGAGGATAAGTCTCCGTTGTGTTTCCTGCCTTGTGCCCTCTTGAATGTTTCACATTCCAGGCCCCACGAAGCACTATAGGCCAGAACCCCCCTCCTGCTGTCACCGAGACAATCCGCAAGTTTCTACTCTTCCCCGTGGGTGCGAAGGGTCCTCACTGAGAACCACTGACTGTTGTTCTTATTGTTTGGTGGCAGGGTGTCGGTTTTTGTTTTTAATTTGCAGCTTCTGGTGATCAACACCAAAATTGGTTTTCTCTCCCCAATTCCTAGGGTTTTCATTATATTCTCCGTTAGAGAAAAATACTGGTAAAACGAACAGCACCTGGGAGCCTGAGTCACCCTCACCAGGTAGGAGTTCTGCCTCTGAACCCTGGAGGCTTCCTGTGGTGTAGCGAGGGGACCTCCCAGTCTACAGGGGGTCAGAATGCTCTATCCACCCAAAGCACGAACAGGAATGCACGGACCTGACCCTGCAGGGGAAGCGGGGAGACCGGACTGCAGAAAGAACTTCCTAACGTACCAGATGGTCCTCCCTGACGACAGCTAGGTGGAAACGAGCGAGCGACTTCTCTCAGTTCTAGCCTGAGATGGAGGGGAATAGGGACAGAGCAGAGAGAGGGAATTAGAGAGACTATAAGAGGGACTGGGGGTTGGGAGACAGGGAGGAAGAGCTGTGGAATCTACAGTTCTTGAAGACTTCAGATGCTAAGATGGCGTGGGCAGACATGGCAGGTGGGGACAGAGGGCTTCTCATCCATCTCCTCTACTCCTTCCCAAATTATACCTCCCTCAGGCAATAATACGCCCACCTCCTGATGAACTTACTCCTACCTTGTTCAGGCGTACTTTCTTGAGTCTAACCTTTGTCACTCCTGCTGTGTCTAGAGCTCAGCAGCACTTTCTCGCAGTGGAGGATTATTGCTACTTTGCTCCCACTGACCTCTCTTTTCTCCTTTCCTTCTCCGTCCAAGGCAACAGAATAACTAAACCAGCGTCACCAAATCCCCGCGCCGCAACTCCATTCCAGCCCCTAGCGGAGGGCTTCTTGGCTGGGAAAGCCACCCCTCCAGCATTGCTCCAACGCCGAAGCAGGGCCTCATTTGCTGGGTTTCTCCTAAACCAAGCCCGCTCTGAGAACCCGAGGAGCCCTGGCGCTGAGCGGACCGAGGAGCGCAAGGTGGCGCTGAGTGAGTAGCCGAGTGCGGTCAAGAGTCCCTGACTGAGTGGAGTCGGGCTGAGGAAGCGGAACGTGGGGGAGAGGCCCAGACTACTGAGAATGGCGGTGGTGGTGGTGTTGAAGACTTGGAGAAAGGATGCGGGTGTTCTTGAATAAAAAGAGGAAAAGACGACCGCAGACGCCCAGCCCCCCCGCCCCACGCTTGGCTGCTCCTGATTGCTTTGGCTGTGGTGCCCCCTGGTGGATAAAGGAAGTCCCTGTAGCTGACTCTCTGTTCCACCTTTTTTTTTCTTTTGTTTTCCTTTTTTCTTTTTTTTTTTTAACTACTTACCCAGGCAGCTGTTCAGCTAGGGGTGGGGTCTAGAGAGGAGTAAGGCCCGCTTGGGTCACAATCCGTTTAACCCATCCCCATGAACCTGACCGCTCTCTCCTCTTCCCCACGTTCCCACATCCTCCATCTCTCTCAACCTTCCACATCCAGCAAAGGAAAATTAAATAATATTGCAGTAAGAGAGTGTGAGACTAGATAACAAATCAGGAGATAGAATGAGGTCCCCATTCCTAAATCGTTAGCAGAGACTGGAACCACCGCTACTCAAACCATTGTAGAGGGTGGATGGGGCCCTTCTAACCTTGATAAACAATGACTCAAAGTCCAAATCCAATTGGAAGTGTGCGTGAGTGGTGGGGTGGGAGCTGACTCTTCCTCCTTCTGTATTCCAACTCTTCATTCATCCCTATCTTTGAGGGGCTCCACTTTAGAAAATTACTCGAGCTCAGAAAGTCTGAGCCTCGACATCTCTTATATTAGCCCCAAAGTGTGTTTTAGATATGAGAATCAGGGACCACAGGAAACGGGGAAGAGGAGATAGTCTCAGCTTTGGGTATTGAAATGACACCCCCTACCACCAGTGGAGACTTCTGCTCTGCACCCACAGAGCAGCATATGGTGAAATTTAGGGATTAACTTCAAGGAGCAGGAGGGAGGCTTGGACTTCTCTGGGGACAAGGAGGGCTGTGACTTGGAAGAGAAAGCCTCCCTTAGCTTCACCCAAGGGGAGCTCAGAGGTGGGTGGCTGGACGAGTTGACCCAGGGTGGCTCCTCTTTCTCCTCCTCATTTTCCCGCAGCCCCCCTGACCCTGGATGAGGCCTCGGCCCACCCAGACCTCGTCATTTCCCAGGATCTGAAGACAGTGACACTGGACTTCATTCCTCAGAACTCGGCTGAGCCCGCCGACCCTGCGCGCTTTTTCCCGTTCCGCTGCGTTCTGGCCTCGCCCGGCCTCTCCTCCGGGCGCCAGGCCTGGGAGGCGGAGCTCCGAGGGCCCGAGGGCGGGGCCTGCCTGGTGGGCGTGGCCTCGGAGCTAGTACCCCGGAGAGGCTTCTTGGTGGTGGGGCCCTTGACCGGCTTCTGGGCGCTGCGCATCGCGGGCTCCGAGTGCCAGGCGCTCACCGAGACCGGAGCCAGGGAGGATCTCACGGTTCGTCCAACGAAAGTAGGCGTCCGCGTGGATCACGAGTGCGGGGAGGTCGTCTTCTACGACGCCACCACGAGCAAACACATCTACACCTTCCACACCTCCTTCCCGGGGCAGATCTTCCCCTTTTTCCGGCTCCTGTTTCCCGGCACCCAGATCACCCTGAATCCCTAGAGTTGTTCCTTTGCCTTCCTCTCTATCTTCTCCCGATACCCCTCACTTGGGGATGTGCTGCAGCTGGTAGAGTTGAAGTTAGGCTTCCAGGAGCCCTTTAGGAGGGTTCTAGTCTTCCGGCTTCTTGGTCCAGGCCTGATGTCTCTGACCCCGCTTTAAATTTTCCTTCTTTCTCTCAGTTCCCCTCCCCTCAATATGCCTAGGTCGAAAGAAAGCCTCAAATGCATGAAAAGACTCTGCACAAGGCTATTCACTGCAGCACTGTTTGTAGTAGGACTAAACTGAAAACAAGCCAAATGTAAACCAACAGGTGATGGTTGAAAACGATGCGATGAGAAAGCCGCATCCAGCTGCATCCTGGTTGAGATGCAGAGACCAGAGACTGGACAACTGACCCCGTTCTGCCCCTTTCTTCTCCTCCACTTCATTTTCCAAAGCTCTGCGATCCTGGACGTGGCCTTGGCCCATCTGGACCTCTTCCTTTCTGGGGATCTGAAAAATGTGACGCTGGATGTTCTCTCTCCTGGAGACTCAACCACGCCCACCCCCATGCCTTCATTCTATCCAGTTTGCAAATGAGGACTATCTATGACTTATTATAGGATGACCTCCAGGATATATCGTTGAGTGAAAAAATAAGGTGAGGAACAGTACACATAGTATGCTACATTTTGCCTAAGAAAAGGGGAATGTAACTATACATATTTGTTTGCTTGTATTTATTTTTGTAGGTGGAAGGATAAACCAAAACCTAACCAAAACGGTTACCTATGGGGGGAAAGGAAACTCAGATGTAAGGGATAGAAATTAGTCTTTTCTAAATGTACCTTGTTTTGTACATTTGGAACCATGTAAATGTTTTACATCATTATAAAACAAAATTAAGTTAAAACAAGACAAAATGAATCTAACTGTGTATGTAGTTGGCAGCTTAAACACTCAGAGAAGAGTTATTTTATGTGACTTTAAAATATAGTTATTCGGGCTGGCCCCGTGGCTTAGCGGTTAAGTGCGCGCGCTCTGATACTGGCGGCCCGGGGTTAGGATCCCGGGCGCGCACAGGCGCACCGCTTTTCTGGCCATGCTGAGGCCGGGTCCCACATACAGCAATTGGAAGGATGTGCAGCTATAACATACAACTGTCTACTGGGGCTTTGGGGGAAAAAGTAAATAAATAAAATTTAAAAAAATAAAATGCAGTTATTTGACTGTATATACTTAGTGGGATATCCATTCGTCCCTTGATGGGCACTTAGGTTGCTTCCAAGTCTTGGCTACTTAGTGGGATAAATACTAATGACAAAACGAATTGCAAGTGAAACTTAAATTTTTCAGTTATCATCTTGGTAATAATAATTTTATTGTTGTTATTCTGAATCTATTATTTATATGTGTGCATATACATATATGTAGGATAAAGCAAATACATAATTATGTTACTGTTACTAGGAACCCAAGATTTTCAACCTAAAAGAAAAGATTAAATTTTCTCTTATGTATATGACATAAAAGAAGAGAAATAAAAGCATAATTCCAAATGTGAATTGGAAAATCAGTATAAACCCATAATGTATTTTCTCTTAAAAAAGGATAAAATGTATTTCTTAGCTCTGTTTACAAAGACCTAATAATAATGGCCTAACTGGATGCACTGAGTGGGCACTGCTTACACCCAGAGGGTGGTCTCTAAATATTATTGCCCACTGAAAAGAAAATGGCTCCTTGGAGAACTGGCTAATTCTAGGTCTGGGAGAAGAAATACACAAGATGACTCTGGAACATCTTGTCACACCAGACTGTGAGAAAGCTGCTGGAGTCACATCAAAAATGACTCAAGACATATATATGGTGATGGACAAACAAAAATGTACAACCCAAAATTTCACAATGTTAGAAACCATTAAAACATCAATAAAAAAAAAAATGACTCAAGAGCCAACTTGAAGGGTCAAAGATGGGATACTTTTAGCATCAATAAGGAAAATAACTGCAATTGATTGAAACAATCAAATATGTAAAAACCCCATCAGTTCATTATAATAATTAAACACTAAACTCATTGGTCACTTTTGGAGGATGCTTGGAACCCACTCAACTTTTTTTTTTTTTTTTTTTGTGAGGAAGATCAGCCCTGAGCTAACATCCATGCCAATCCTCCTCTTTTTGCTGAGGAAGACCAGCCCTGAGCTAACATCTACTGCTAGTCCTCCTCCTTTTTCTCCCCAAAGCCCCAGTAGATAGGTGTATGTCATAGTTGCACATCCTTCTAGTTGCTGTATGTGGGATGCGGCCTCAGCATGGCCGGAGGAGCAGTGCGTTGCTGCATGCCCGGGATCCCGGCCCCGGTCGCCAGCAGCGGAGCGTGCACACTTAACTGCTAAGCTGCGGGGCCGGCCCCTCAACTTTCTGAAAACTGGCAAAATAAAGAGAAAGACTCAGTATTTATGCTACCATTCTTGTACAAACATATCTAGGATAACCAAATGGTTGAGGAACAGTTCTTTATTACAAACTCCAGCTGATAAATGAAGAAAGGATGAAAGAATATCACTTTTTTGTAATACCTAATGAAATAATGAGCTTAGGCAATAATCATCAACAGCTGCTAGAAATATTATGCAAAAAGCTGACAGGGAATCTTATAATGACAGATCAAGCTGACAACACCTCAGCCCACTGATCAATCCTAACATCATAAAAAGAGAGACAATCCAACATTATGTGCCTCCCAGTGTAATGCAACAGAAAGTAACAACTTGATGTATACCTACCAAAAATAACAGACCTGAAACCCATCAGGTTTCCGGACTTATCAGAGTCACTTTAACAACACAGCAGAAACACAGTCCGCAAATCCCAGTTTGGGAAAATTCACAGGACAAAGGACCAGTTTTCTTCATCAGATAAATTGCCCGAAAAAAAGGGAAAAATGGAGCCTATAGATTAAAAGAGACTTAAAGGACATTTCAACCAAATGCAGTAGTGGACTAGCTTGCATCCTCGTTTGAACAAATTAATTGTAATCTTATTTTCTTAAATATGAGACAAATTTGAACATTGACTTTACATTTATATTAAAGAATTGTGCATTTGTAAGATGTGGTCATTGTACTTTTTTAAAGGGAGCTTTTGGTATACTAAAGATTTTACCAATGAAATATGATGTCTGGGATTTGCTTAAAAATAACAGTGGGAAAAGGGGGAGGATGAGTAGGAGGTAATTGATGAAACAAAATTGATCATGAGTTGATCACTGTTGAAGGAGGTGATGGGTGCACAAGAGTTCATTATGTATGTTTGAAATTTTCCGTAATAAAAAAGTTGACACAGAAAAATTGTTAAAGACATCACCTAAGTGTGGCCTCCCACAGTCAATATCTGGGAGTGAATCTGACTCAGAACCCAGACATCCTTTCGCAAAGATTTTGATTCTCACCAAAGATTGGTGTAGCCTGGAGTGGGAGTGGATGTAGTTTCCCTCTCAAAAAACAAAACCGTCTGCCTTTCTACTTCCTCATATTCAGAAAACAAAATTAACCTCAGGACCAGATGCATCCTCCTCTCCAACCCTCCCCCCCTACCAACTGCAACAAAAATCTTCATCGTTTATAGTTTTGCCATGTAAGGGATTAAAGTTAAACTCAGAAAAGGACTTCCCCTGCTTCCAGAGTGATCCCGCAAAAGTAAAAGGGGTGAGAGGCTTTGGAACGCAGAGCCAACAGGATGACAAAATGACCTACGGAGAGCAAGACCCAGGATTTGCGCCAGAGTTCAAGATTAACATGTGTTCCTGCCTCTTCGACTCCTTTCAACCAGGCAGGGGGCGGAATAGGCGAATGGGGGCGGCCTTCCCGGGCATTTACAGCCTCCCTGGTCCAGTTGGCAAGTGGCAAGTTTACAGCAGGCGTGGGGAGTCCCCGGACGACGGCCAGGCTGCTGCGCGCGTGTCTCCGCAGCGGGAGGGCGGGTCCCGGTATCCGCCGGGGTGAGCCAACGCCCCCAGCGCAGATTCCAGAAGGGCGCAGTCAGCCCTGGCCCGGCTCCCTGGTCCGGTTCCTCCGGTCGGCCACGAGGAGCCGCCGATTACATAAGCAGCCCTCACCTGCCTGTTAGGTGACGGCTGGGGACACTCGGACCTTGACCCGCAAACAACCCCCTCCAAGTGTTTATTCGGAATCACCCGCGGCAGTCCAAATTCCCTGTTTCTGGTACCCAAAGCCCTAGTCATTGACACCGCACGCTTTATCTTGTTTCCTTTAATTGTATGCAGATTTAGCTTCCTTACTGGAAAGGGAGATCTTCCCAGACTGGATTAAGTTGATTTCAAACTTTCTTTCTCCCACCCCTAACCTGACACTTGGCATGGACCCTAGAATGGAGTATGGATTAATAAATCTTTGCTAAATTGAAACCATCCCCTAATTCCTCTTTCCCACAGAAGACTGATGTCTTGATAATCCCACTCAATTTTTGTGGACCGGCTTCACCTCACCTCCTCCAGGATGCCTTCCCCAGGCAAGATTCCTGGCTCTTCTTTAGGAAATGTGCACTCTCCCAAAGCCATTGCAGCCAGCTGCATCACAGCTCTGACCACAGTAGACGGGTGAACTCCTGGAAGGCAGAAGCAGCTTCTTACTCATCCTGGTTTGTCTCCCACTCTCCTTGCACAGTTCTTAGTGAATGAAGGGATACTTTGTAGCAAGGTTTTAATTTGAGGAGGTCCTTCCACCTGATCCTTAACCTTGAACTATGATCACTCCCTCTTCCCTCCCTGGGGAAAGGGGAGCACTGTTTAATATTTCAGCTGATGCACCTGAAGAGGGTCCTGGCCATTCATACAGTAATGTGGCTGGGAAGCCAAGTGGTTACTGAGGCCAAGGGCCTAGATTTCCATTCTCTAGTCCAGGGTGTTTTGTGCTTCTCCACACAGTTATAATACTTCTAATAACAACGTGTTTACAGAGCTTAATAGATTACTAAATAGTTTCATAGACATTATTCCATTTACACCTCACAACCTCTTGAATTACATATCGTTACAT